CACCCAATATTCAAGACAATATTGGGAACCCAAGATAATAATAAATTTATCTCACACTTATTACTATTATATTGGGTGCATAATAAAATTTACAAACTTAATTATCAAGTACTTAGTAATAATCAATTATATCAGATACCTGATATGTTTATTCTTCCCTGATAGGTATCTAATAGGTAACTGATAAATGTTTGATATTTGAATTTTGACCTGTAATTGGATACAGGAACAGTTAAAAAAGCTGGAGACATGCAAATTTAACAATACTGCTATATTTTTCATCAATGTGATTTTAGTCACGAATTTTATATGATCTCGTAATTTAAGATTAACACATTTTTAAGAGATCTGTTTTATCTTTTTTGATAAATTTATTTTTAAGTAACATGATGCAACTAAATATACATTGTCATATAATTTATAGAATAACAAACATCAAATAATTAGTTGAAAAATGATATATCAAAAAAATAAACATAGATATATTAAAAAAATGATATTTTTGTCAAAGATTTTGTTTTACTCATTTTCAAATAACAAATATACATTGTTCACATGATATATAAAATATAAATATCATATGTATATCAAATAATTAGTTACACATTACTTAAAAGCATTAAAAAATTAATTTATCAAAAAAAAGATATGACAATAAACTGTACAGTACAAAATACTATTTTGTACTGTACAATTTTACATTAAATTTATACAAAATTCATACAATACAGTACACCTTATTATATATATATATTTAAATTGTATTGTATAAAATTTTTTATGTTAAAAAACTATATAGTACAGATATTTTATATTAAAAATCATACAGTACGAGTATTTTACTAAATATAAACAATTAAATAATAAAAAAATATGGTACACATATTATTAATAATATTTTAAATTGAATTTATTAATTTTATATATTCATTATTAATCAAATAATTTTTAATCCTATAATTATATATTCATTATTAATTAATCCTATAATTATATATTCATTATTAATTAATCCCATAATAAAATGTGTATAATAATGGTTATTAATTCATTAGCTATTTTCATTTTTCAAGTAGTGTAATTTTCTTTTCAAGCTTATTATTCATTTGTTTTTGTATATTTAATTTTTCAATTATAACTTTATTTATATTTTGCTATTGATTAATTTGTAAATTTTCATCATTTTCATTATAATTATTTTTTTGCTTTTTTGTTTTATTCAAGAATAAGGATAATATAGGTTGCATGTCTTTTTTTCTTTTTTCTAAATAAATAAACAAACAAATAAACAAACAAACAAATAAATAAATAAATAATTTTATTAAATAATAATAATAATTTTTATCAGTTTATTTCTTAGCTTGAATTGATCTAGACAGATCTAATTTATTTCTATAAAAATCTGAAACATTATATTGTTGATTTACAAATACACTTTTTCAACTTCTTTTATCAAAATTACATCCTCTGAAAAATAAATTATAAATTATAAGATATTATATTTAAAAAATCAATTAAACATAAAATAAATATAAATAATATTTAATAATTCCAGCAAGAAAAGAAAGATTATGACATCATGATTTATATTGGCATAGATGCTTTCTTTAACATTTGTATTATTTGAAGTTTGATTTCAGATTACATGATTCATTTTTGTAAATGCAACAGATATATTAGACAATACCTATAAAATAAGTTTGTCCTTTATCTAATCTATAAAAAAACAAATACTTTAGTATTTATTTAAATTACAACTAATAATTATTTAATAATTACCTTCTGTTCCTAGTTCATCACAAAATTGTATATTATCTAATACTCTTAAAATTTCATCTTGTATTTTTAATATAGGAATTAAATATATTACATCTTTAATTTCTTGAAATAAATGTTTATTTTTATTAATGTTTTTAAAAAAATAATAGATAATTAATTGAAAAATAATTTTATAACAAAAAAAAATTTTTTAAATTCTGTTATATTTATCTTTTATAATGAACTTGACATAATTTATATATATGTTGAAGATGTTCTATTGGATTAAGATTGAATATTTTGAATGCAAATATTGTTCTAAACCTTTAAAAAAATTATTATTAAATTAATAATATTAAATAATTAAAATAACTAATAATATAATATTATAATTTACCTAAAACTTGTTCTTTATGTTGATCTGCCAAAATATAACCTAATCCTTTTCCATGTATATGATAAAAATTAAAAGTTTCACCAGTATCCTTTTCAATACATGTGAATAAATCTTTAAATAAATTTTTATATACTTCAGCTATTCCAGCATTAGTGAATATTCAAATAAAAGTCAAAGCTAATATTTAATAATAACAGTTACTGTGTATGTCCATTTAACTATAGATCATATATGAAATTTAATAAGGTTACATAAATTTTCTTTTATTAAATATTGAATTAGCACTTAATAAAAATTGTTTAAAAGTACTTTGATTATTATTTTTAAATATAATTTTTTATATCTTTAGACTTTTTTTACTTATATATATATTATTTTAAATACTATTGTTTTTTATATAAATTTCTTTCATTCTTATCCATTTGAAGTTATATACAAAAATAAAGTATCTAGAAACATAAAAAAAAGATTTATTTTTTATCTTTATTAAATCACTTTTTTAAATTTCTATATTAATTAAAGAAATTATACATTTTTTTTTTTAATAATTTGTTATCAATTTTACTAAGACATTTTAATTCTATTCTTATCCCAAATATTTAATTTATTTAAAAGTTCATTTAAAGTTGAAATAATTTTATTTAATTCTTCTTCAAGTGAAAGTGAATTAAAGTTATCTAATTGTTCTAAAATTTTTTTTCTTCTTCTGTACTAAACCTTTTTTGTCTTTTGAAAGATTGTTCCTGAAACAGATCTGTAGGATGTCATCAATGAAAATTCATTGATGATTGATATAGTATTAAAAGTGGATTCAAGATAACTTTGTATTTTCAGAATTTCCAAATTTATTGGATATATTGTTCTTTTTTTTAACTTTTTATCTTCATTTATTTGTTTAATTGTTGTCTTTAAAATATCTAATACTCTTATACCTTTTTTATTTTGTAGCTTACATTTTAAAATCTCCTCTTCAAATAAATTTTTCATTCTAATTAAACTTTTATCATAGTATTTTTGAAGATGGTCAACTCCCACTGAATATAATTCTTTTAATCTAGCAATTTTAAATAGATTATCTTGACCAGAACTATCAAAACAATTAACCAACTTAGTTATCAATTTCCACATTACCTCTTTTCTTTAGTCTATTTCACGTAAACTTGTTGAAATAGTAGGATTATCAAGAAATTCGAAAAGTAATATTTCAATTTGGTCATATTCAATTTGTATTATATCTATTTGCATTTTTAAATTATCTTGATTAATTATATTTCTGGTAATATTTTGTTTTACAAATTTAACACCTAGAGTTTCTAATACTTCATTATATGTAAAATAATATTCTTTTTTGTTATCATAAATTTTTACTGAAGCTATGTATCATAATTTTTCTTCTAATATAGGATGTTTTTTTAAAATTGTACAAAAATGAACTACTAATAAAGCATAATTTGATTTTTCAACTGCAGGAAATAATGGATTAAATACTAATAAAGTATCCTTTTGAATATCAAAATTACTTAATCTAATTTCAAATGGTGTGCTAAAAAAATTTCACCCTATTGATAAAAAAGGTATCAAATTTTTAAAATTATATTTTAATTATTATTAAGATTAATTTGATTTTCATTATTTTTTTTAAATGAATACAAATTGTAATTGCAATTGTTATCTAGATCAATTCTATAATACGTAATGATATTCAATAATCAATAACTGCTTCAAGTTTATTCAAAAATTTTACCTCCAATACAAATGCAAAATCAAATATACCATAACTAAAAAAAAAGAATAATTAATATAAATATCATATCCTTAGATAGATGCCATTGACCTAATAATGGTCTCAGGTTGGACTACATTTCTTTCAATTTGATTAATCGACAAAATATTACTTCATCAGCTCAAATATTCAAATATTAATTTTTTTTTTAGTTAAAAATCTTTTTTATATATTTTTACTGATTCAAAAATTCCTTCATCAAAATTAGAAATCCTGCTTGCATCCATAATTACAATATTAAGTGAAGAACAAAAATATCTTGTTTCTAAACTATCCATTAATTTTTGTCTAATTTCAAAAATATCAAAATTCATATAGTAAATAATTTCTCTATTATTATTTATTTTGAATTATAATAATTCATTTAATATTATATCCAATGAATTAATTATATCTTTACATCTTTCATTCATTCCAAATAAAATAGTTTCTCTTGTTAAATCTATTGTATTTTTGATAGAATCTTCAAATTGTAAAAGTAAATAATTTTGAAAAGTCATTTTTAAAGTAATATGAGATGTTTCTCATATAGAATTAAATATATTCCCATAATAAAAAGTTTTTTCTTTAAAATCAATATTATCTATAATTGCAACATTCCAAATATTGAAATTATTATTCAATTATTCTGTTGGTATGACTGATTTCATTCTTTTTTTTCTAATCTTCATTCATGTCTATCTGTATAACTTATAATTTTAACAACTGATAAAAAATCTTGAAACTTAAATAGCATTTTTAGTTTTTACTTAAACTTGCAAGTAATCTTGAAATCCAAAGATTTAACAAAGGAAATAGAATATGAGTAAGCCAAGATATTAAAAGTACTAGAATTTTATTGATTTTATCAGTATAGATTGTTTAAATATTTTCTATATTTTTTTGTCTTTGTTGTTATTTTATATTAATAATTTTTAATTTTTGTATATATATATAATTAAGATAACTTGAAAAAAAATTCACAAGAAATTTCAGAAATAAATTTTGATATTTATTAAATGATTTAGGATTTTGTAATTTGAGTTTATTGATTTTTAATTCATTATAATAATTATATATTTTTTAAACAAATTTTTCATCTAATAAAGAATTAGTATTTTCGTTAATTTGTATTTGAGAAAAATCTAAATTAATTTGATTAAGTTTTAAAATGATATATAATACAAAGGGACTTGATGGAAATGTATCTTGTTGATTACTTGAAGTAGAAAAATTAGATTCAGGTTTAAGAAGGGAAAGAATATTTTCTGAAAAAGAAATCAAAAATTTTTTTTTAAAGTTTTCATCTTGTAATATGCAATATTATTTAATAATTTTGACTTTAATTCAAGACCAATTGTAATATTATTATTGTGCAATTCATTTTCATTACAATCTGCAATTCACCATTCTTTGTCACATCTAATAGTTGTATGATTTTCATGTTACTCATAGCATTTAACACAAATATATTGTGATCGAATAATTTTATTAAAGGCTAGTTTACATACTTTTTTACTCATGTATAATGCAATATATTTTATTTATTCAATACAAGCTATTTGAACACATTTTTCTTGAATAAGTTAAGAATGTTTATAGTAACCTTTCCCACAGTTAAAATAGTAAAAATACTTCATACAAAAAATATAACGTTGTTACAGAATGAAAATATAATGATAAAATAATATTAAAAACACCTGCAATAATTTATAATAACCCTTAAAATAA